TTAACCCGAATATATTTTAATATGTGTTACACCCTAATAAATTTTGTACTTTTAGAAATCTCCATTCCTACTTGTTTCTGACTAAGGGAGTTTTGACTCTTGAAAGCCGGAAATCTCATTGGTCTCTCAGGTGCTCATGGACTCGGATCTAGCAGTCCTAACTCAGCTTTACCACAATTATCAGAGGATGGAGTTAGGCTCTGCCCTTCGCCCAAACGTGCACGTGCTGCCAAGCCACAAAGGTTTCACGAGCTCTTGCAAACCTACCCAGGAATGTCACGACATTCATGCCATTCGCCGAAATGTACACAAACAGCCAGTCTGCAAAGATTTCATGTGCTCTCGCTAACTTACCTAGGAAATGTCACGACATTCATGCCATTAGCCCAAACGTACATGCACTGCCAATCCACAAAGATTTCGCATGCTCTCGCTAACCTACCCACGGAATGTCACGACATTCATGCCATTAGCCGAAATGTACATGCACTGCCAATCCACAAAGATTTCACATGTTCTCGCTAAATTACCAAGGAAATGTTATGACATTCATTCCATTAGCCGAAATGTACACAGCCAGTCTACAAAGATTTCATGTGCTCTCGCTAACTTACCTAGGAAATGTCATGACATTCATGCCATTAGCCCAAATGTACATGCACTGCCAATCCACAAAGATTTCACACGTTCTCGCTAAATTACCAAGGAAATCTTATGACATTCATGCCATTAGCCAAAATGTACATGCACTGCCAATCCACAAAGATTTCACACGTTCTCGCTAAATTACCAAGGAAATCTTATGACATTCATGCCATTGGCCCAAATGTACACGCACTGCCAATCCACAAAGATTTTGCTAACCTACCCAGAGAATGTCACAACCCTCATGTGATGGCAGATAGGTAGGTGTTCAAGCTGGAGCTCCTGAGGGCAGCAACAGCCTGCCTGTTCCGAGCCGTCTTCATGCAGGTCTTTCTCTCCCACAGGACAGAGACCCTGAGGCTCACGCTTTGGTCGTGCGCAATCGATCGGCCTTCGAAAAGCAGCACCATCATCTCTTGCACTGCCTGGAGAAAACCACTGTGAGTAGTGGGACATGGTGTGAACTGGAGGAGGGGCCGTGTTCGAGGCAATGTGGACAGGAGGGGTCTGATCTCTGGGAAGGGCTTGTGGATGCACAACGGAATTTGCTACCTATACAGGACTTGCTAGGCCAGGGGTCCCCAGCCATTCAGAACCTGCGAGCACCATTCAGAACCTGCGAGCACCATTGGAGTTCTGACAGAGGATGGTGGGCACACCTATAAAATGGCTGCCGGAGGAGGCGGAGCCAACCACAGAACATCAGGAAGTGAGGTTATGCATAGTAGCTCTTCAACATTTCAGGCAGGTGCTCTGCTTAACACCATGCCATTTGAAATGAACATGTTGTTTAAAAGTCTTGTCTTGCCTGCGTACAGCTTATCTTCACCCATGCAGTGAAGATCCTTGTGCTGTAGTGGCAGCTGCTGCCGAAGCAAAGGTTTTTTAAAGATCTGCATAACCAATCAGATCTTCAGTGTGGCCAACCATAAGCCCTACTGGGCAAAAGCCACACCTGGCCCCGCATACTTTTTAAAAACTCCGGGCAGGCCCCAAGAAAGGTATTGGTAGGCGCCATGGTGCCCAACGGACCCCTGGGCTAGACAATAAAACAAAGCCAACATCTGGGCCAAGATGGTTCCAGACCAAGTCACATACAGCTCTGCAGCCAGACTACCATCCCCTGATCCAAACAACATTCTTCCCAATTCATTGATTTCCTGTGTTTCCTGCAACATATTTTTTTCAGACAGCTTTTTTTTTGGGGGGGGGATTGTTTTTCACGAATATCACCATATGGCGATCTCACCCTCTTCCCCCCCTCACACACAGGATTTTCCCCTTTGTTTCTTCTTTCTTGCTGAGCAGCCCCTATATCTATTTTCTTCTTTTTTGTTGGTCTATGGCTGTCCCACCCTTTTACGTTATTATATATTTTGATGCTGGCCCAGCCCAGGGACTTGAGGGAAGAGACAAAATCACCCGCTTCTGTTCTACTTCAATATGGCACACGAGAGGCTTTTGAAATTTCAGAAATAAACTGAATATGTTACTTAACTTGGAGGGGGGAAAGGAGAGGTGGAATCAGGGGCAGAATGTATGAGGTGAACAGATGATAATAACTGAGGCAGGGGTCATTTCTGCGGGAGCGTACAAGAGCGGAGCTCTGGCAGGAAGGAGCCCAGGGGGCAGGCACATGCAACAAGCCCCACCCCCTGTCCAAAGCAGCCCTCAGTTGGGCCACGAGGAACAAGAAGCAGCCAGGTAAGTTGCATAGCCCCCCCGGCCCGCTTTCAGGTACAAGCTCTTCCTTCTCTTTGAGGGCAGATCTGCGTGTCCCCCCCCCCCATAGCTAGCAATCCAAACAGTCCAGTAGCACCTTTAAGACCAAGTCTTGTTCAGGTACAAGCTCTCCCTCCTCTGTGAGGGCAGATCTGCGTGTCCCCCCCCCCATAACTAGCAATCTAAAACAGTCCAGTGGCACCTTTAAGACCAAGGTTTATTCATGTACAAGCTCTCCTTCCTCTGTGAAGGCAGATCTGCATGTCCCCGCCCATAGCTAGCAATCCAAAACAGTCCAGTGGAGCCTGAGTGGTGGGTATTGCCTTCTGACACACTTCCGGTGATGTCAGGGGGTGTGGCATATGCAAATAAGTTATGCTAGAGGTATGCTAATGAGTTCCTGTGCCTCTTCTTCTACGAAATGACCCCTGAACTGAGGTAACTTTGTAATCACACTAAATTCAAGATAATTGGTTGCCAACAAGTGGGCGTTCCTGCTTTTCCACAAAGGTCTTTGAAACTTTGAGGCTTTCTTTCCCGTGTCCGCACATACACTTAAGTAGAAGAAGAAGAAGAGGAGGAGGAGATTGGATTTATACCCCGCTCTTCACTACCAGAAGGTGTCCCAGAGTGATTTACAAGCTCCTTTCCCTCCCCCTCCCCCACAACAGACACCCTGTGAGGGAGGTGGGGCTGAGAGAGCTCTGACAGAAACTGCTCCTGAGAGAACAGCTCTGAGAGAATTATGGCTTGCCCAAGGTCATCCAGCAGGTGCAAGTGGAGGAGTGGGGAATCAAACCCGGTTCTTCCAGATTAGAGTCCGCGCACTGAACCACGACACCAAACTGGCTCTTAAGACCACCAAGTGTTCCATAACTAGTGTAGTCTACTGCGGTGCATTTCCCCTTTCCATCCAGAGCCTGACTTCCCTTGGCTGTACACCTTCCCCATGTTCAACAGCCACTCTCTTGACCCACACATTATAGGTTGTCACTCCACCTGCCTGGACCGACCTTCCCCTATCTGTAATTAAAAAAAAAATTCATTCCCACCTCAATCTCAGAGAACATTTTCTTTCTTTCTAGCATTCTTTTTTTGAAAATATTTTTTAAATTAAAGTTTTATATGACAACAGCCATTTCAGCCTATAACATAGCAACAAAATTGATGTAAGTCATGAAGCATACACAACAGCTCTTGTGAGAAAAATCACTAGGCTTGGCGGCTCAAAATTCAAAAGGTTACATGCGAGAACAGCAGCATAGATCGGTGTTATGCCATAGAAATCTTCCAGACTGTTCTTAAAACTACATATATTGTTACATTAACAGGGGTCATTTTGTAGAAAAAGAGGTACAGGAGCTCATTAGCATAACTTATTAGTATAACTTATTTGCATATGCCACACCCCCTGACATCAACGGAAGTGTGTCAGAAGGCAACACCCACTGCTCAGGCTCCACTGGACTGTTTTGGATTGCTAGCTATTGGGGGGGGGACGTGCAGATCTGTCCTTGCAGAGGAGGGAGAGCTTGTACCTGAATAAAACTTGGTCTTAAAGGTGCCACTGGACTGTTTTGGATCAGGGGGGCTGGGGCTGGGGGGGCTCTGCAGCTTACCTGGCTGCTTCTTGCTCTGACTGAGGGCTGCTGGGAGCAGGGGGCGGGGCTTGTTGCATGTGCCCGCCCCCTGGGCTCTTTACTTCCAGAGCTCCGCTCCTGTGCGCTCCTGCAGGAAATGACCCCTGGTTACATATAATTTACTATTCCGTAAAAACGTTGTGGAATTTGGGATCTCGAGGTCGGATTCGGTAGAAATGATGCCTCTAGAAATGGGAGCCATTTGTTAATTTGTTAACATGTTCTAACGTTCTTGATGCCCACGTGTGAACATGCGAACACAACATAGTGGTTAGGATTAGAGCCCATTGGTTTTGCTGTGTGTATGCACTGCTTTCTGACACCCTCCGCCCCCCAAATCTGACACTGCCCTCAGGTAACATCAGAAAATATACCTAGCCGCAGTGCAGATGGGTGTTCTCTGATGCCACTGCCTCTGAACAGGGAAGTTCCCTCCACTCACCATGGCAAGTAGCCACTGATAGACCTCTCGTCCAGGAATCTATCTGATCCCCTTTTAAAGCTGTTTATTCCTGTGGCCATCGCTACATCCTCTGGCAGCGAATTCCACACTTTTATCGCTCCCTGTGTAAAGCAGTAGTAAAAAGGTAAAGGTTCCCTTGCTCGAAAGCCAGTCGAATCCGACTCTAGGGTTGCGGTGCTCATCTCCATTTCAAAGCCGAAGAGCCAGCGCTGTCCAAAGACGTTTCCATGGTCATGTGGCCAGCATGACTAAACACCAAGGCGCACAGAACGCTGTTACCTTCCCACCGAAGTGGTACCTATTGATCTACTTGCAATTTCTTGCTTTCGAACTGCTAGGTTGGCAGGAGCTGGAGCTAGAGACGGGAGCTCACTCCGTCACGCGGCGCACTCGGGTCTCGAACCGCTGAACTACCGACCTTCCACAGCCTGCAGTTCAGCGTCTTAACCACTTGAGCCACCGCAGCTCCTTCGGTTTAAAGGACTGGGTGATGCCGGAGACATCTGCCTTAGAACCCAGACTGCTGGTCAGAACGGGCGTATGTGCGTCTGGAGTGCCGGCAGCTTCAGGTGTCCATGTGCGTCTCCTTTGCCACTCACGCATCATCCCTTTTCTCCTCCCCACCCCGATGTTCCCCCTACCCGCAGAGTCACGAGTTTGCCGACGAACGCAACTACAGCGAGTTCTGCCTGTCGGACCCCCTCGGCTACCGCACCAGCCGCAGCACCTCCCTCTCCTCCCAGCAAGGGAGCAGCGGCAGGGGGATCCTCGGCACCTCGTGCTGCCCACGCCGCGCCAAGCGCCGCACCACCCGCCTCACCAACTCCACCATGTCCATGAGCCGCGCCAGCGCTCAGGAGCTCGACACGTTGCAGAGTCAGAAGAGCGAAAAAAACTTACAGGAGCTACTGTAAGCTCTTGGAGGATTGGCTACATTAGGGGGGTGTCGCTTAATATGCAAATGAGTACCTGCTACAAAAAGAGCCCTTGGCGGTGACCTGGGCCGGTGTTTCCCAGCCTGTGGGTCGGGACCCCAAAGTGGGTTGCACGAGGCCTCTCTAATGGCTGTTCCTGCCCTTCCCATCGCTCTCTTTCATATTAGGAAACCAAACATATCCTGGTGGTGGTGTTAGTGATTATTATTACTATTACTATTATTACTATGAGATTGTTTTATATCCCTCCCTTCACTTGGAGTCTCAGAGTGGTTTACAAACTCCTTTCCCTTCCTCTCCCCACAACAGACACCCTGTGAGGCACGTGGGGCTGAGAGGGCTCTGACAGAACTGCTCTTGAGAGAACAGCTCTGAGAGAACTTGTGACTGAGCCAAGGTGACACCAGCAACTGCGTGTGGAGGGGTGGGGAATCAAAGGCAGTTCTCCCAAATTAGAGTCTGCCGCTCTTAACCACTACAGCAAACTGGCTCTCTCTTAAGATTTATTAATCTCCCTATCCCAGCTTACGTTGGGCTCTGGGCAATGTATAAGGCATGATGCCATACAACATACAAAAACAACATACCAAAAAAAAGCTCCTGGCATTAAAGTTGTGAGCGAGCGATTTGGTTACTGCATAAATTAGCTTGCTCTGGAGCCGTCCTTCCTGAGCGGAGACAAAAATGTGTGAGCTGGAGGCTAAAAAACTGTGAGCTAGCTCACACTAACTCAGCTTAGAGGGAACACTGCCACCAGGGAAGCCTCTGCAGAAGAAGGCAACGGCAAGCCACCTCTGCTTCTCACTCGCCTTGAAAGCCCCTTGCTGGGATCACCATAAATTGGAAGCTAAGCTAGGTCGGTACTTGGAAGGGAGACCACCAAGGAAGGCTCTG